AAATGGATAAGGAAAATAAGACAATGAATATATAAAAAGTTTAGTTACTCAGACAGAGATGATTTTAGCGGAAAATCACAATATGAGCCCGCGAACAACAAAGACATTGGATTGCGGTTGGGTATCAAAAGTTGGTCTTCAAAAGTTGGTCTTCAAAAGTTGGTCTTCAAAAGTTGGTCTTCAAAAGTTGGTCTTCAAAAGTTGGTCTTCAAAAAATAAGTTGTGTTTTCAACCGATAAACCGGTGATCTTCAAAAACAATGTTGTTATTTTAATGAAATGAATATGATCCTCAAAATATCATATAGTGAAATGCAAAAGTTGATTTTTGGCGGACATGGGACACCATATTATAGTGTATTTTTCCTTTGCCCATCGTCTGTCGTTTGACGTATGAACGCGAAGCTTAATGAACTCGGTAAATTCGACACCGTTACTGCATGGACGCTGGTATGCATGGAACTTACTTGAGAACTAATGAACTCTGACTAGATTAATATTTGTCAAGCTTGGCCTTTGTTGACTTTTCATTGTTTTAATTAATAAAGGCGTTTCTCTAATCCCGGCATCACATTGTACGCCTAGACTCTACTGACTTTTACTTTTTGTGACTAGCTTCTTCACCTTTTGACTGAAATTTACCGTAAATCACAGGGCAATCGTTATACCGCAGTTCTAATCTCCTGAATATCATGGGTACGTCAGAAAATAATGATGACATGGTTCCCCTTAACTCGCTACCAGAAGAAAAGCACAAGACCATAGGACTGGGACCTTTCAAAGTCAATCTGATCCTAGCAAACATATTTTTTGCGTTTTTGGCAGTCGGCGGTGAAGTGGGGCAAAATGTCACCCTACCTTTGTGGATTGATTCGTCAATTCCGCCACCATCTGGTCATCTAGTCCACAATTCCTTTAACCACACGAATGATACCGGTCATCTCATGCGCAATGGTTATTCCACCAACCATATCAACTCCTCATCTGGCAGTGGTGATGTATATCAACCTCGAGTCGACGCATTTTTTGTCTATACTTTTGCGTCCATGGCATTTGTCATGTTATTCGGAGGTGCTTTACTTTTCATTCGCCTGTTTCAACCGCATCTGCTCGGCGAGACAGAACGAAGGTTTCCGCACTCGCAGCTCTTTCTAGTCGGTCTCTTCGATGCATTGAATGGAACTCTGGTCGTCTATGCCAGCAGTGGAAGGCGAACGGCGCCGTACTTGCAAGCGATTTTGGGGAATTTCATGATACCTCTCATAATGGCATTTCGGTGAGTAAAAGCATATTCATACATGTCCAGCATGTTGGACAAACATTACAAATTACAGAGCGGAGAATAAGGCATAAAGGCCTGACTCTACGATGGCGAAATTCTGACTATTGTGTCAGCGAAATACGGATGGTTGCACATAAGCGATTCTATTGAATTTTCCAACTTTTTCCACTTTCGCAGTGAGTAGAACTGACTTCTACTCACTGGTGAAGCGAAATTTTTCTCGCGAAGCCTAATTTATCTTTACTGCGCACACACCAAATTCATTTCGCGCGAAATATTTCGCATTCCGCGAAGAAAGCGCACGTGGAATCAGGCCTTTGGAACTGCATGTCACATAAAGTACCTCATACACCATAATTTGCATTTATATTTTATTGGTAAGAATGTTTACTGAAACTACAGAGCAACTTCGTTTCCACATTTTTGTTCTTTTGCTTCGTTTTTGTGAGTTATTTCAATATGTTTGACACGTCTTCCACTTATCACGGACACCATCTGTTGCGCGGTTGTGTAATTGTGGTAAAACCCACCCATATATAGTACGAAAATTCAATACTTCACAGTTGTACTTCATATTTCATTCAACTTGCTTATTTAGATATTTCATTCTTCGCAAAGTGCCAACACTTCGGAAATTCTCCTGTGCCATGATTGTATTGGTTTCATTATTCATCTGCCTCATTCCCAAGATATTTCCCTCTATTGACCCTGAAGCTGCTAGATTTGGTGGAGCCAGTGGGGTGGCAGGGTTTCTGTGGCCATTGTGTTTCATGTTTGGTTTTGTAAGTTAAATTTTTTCTGTTTTAGAAGTAGTAATCGCTGAAGTGAAGAAGTTATTATTACATGCTGTTGTTGTTGTTGTTGTTGTTATTGTTGTTGTCGTCGTCGTCGTTGTTGCTGTCGTTGTTGCTGTCGTTGTTGTTGATTTCGTTGTTGTTGTTGTTGCTGCTGTGGTTGTTGTTAGTGTTGGTGTTCTCGTTGTTGCTGTCGTCGTCGTTGTTGTTGTTGTTGTTGTTGTTGTTGTTGTTGTTGTTGTTGTTGTTGTTTTTGGTGTTGTTGTTGTTGTTGTTGTTGTTGTTGTTGTTGTTGTTGTTGTTGTTGTTGTTGTTGTTGTTGTTGTTGTTGTTGTTGTTGTTGTTGTTGTTGTTGTTGTTGTTGTTGTTGTTGTTGTTGTTGTTGTTGTTGCTGTTGCATTACATAATTCTATAATAAATTTCTATATTGTTTCAGATTCCCATGGCATTGATGAACGTTATTGAAGAGCGAGGCCTAAAGATGCAAGACAGTTTGTCAGAACAACAAGTCAACATTGTGTTCTTTCTGTTCTGGTCATCCACATATGAACTTTTTGTTTTCTTATCGATCTTCTGGCTGGACTTTGTTCCCGTGTTTGGCTATGCCGATAACTTTACTCATTTTCTGGATAAGTATGTTCATCAGCGTTGATAATAATAACATTAATCAAATGAATAATCTTACTAGACGGCTAATGCTGATCTGGTGGTGAATGCTGGTCGCGTGGCTCTCAGATTCAGTAATATCGGTGAAGCATTGATTGACTATGCACATGAGTGTTTTGTTGTACAAGTCCAAGCTATGAGCCCAGCTTCCCAGGAAACTAGCAGGGACGTCGCTACTGCTGTGTGGTGTGTGTGTGTGTGGGAGAGGGAGTAACACTCCCCACTGATATTTTTTAACTTCAAAAAGTTGGTCAAAATTAAATTCTTTGTTTTTCAAATTGGTTGACATTGTCAACTAACTATAGTGTACTCAAATTAAAGCGTAAAGAAAAATAAGTATTTTGACATTCAGAGTTTGCATCACAAATTTGTAGGATTCAGAGTTTGAAAAGTTGGTCAAAATGTTCGCCAAAACTTGGTGCTGGGCACCTAACAACCTGCGAACGGGCATACTCGGGGAACAAGATTGCCATCTTTGGCCACACTTTTTGGACTCCAGATATTTTTGGAGCTCACTGCCTAGTAGTTCAATTTCCTTAAAGAAGTTTTGTTATGGACCTCGTAATATCCCATTTCTGACAAAGCTTTCATATTTTAAGTCTCACACTAAAGATATGAAGACATAAACAAACAAAAGGCAGCATGCTAACAGTCGCGATCAAATGTTTTCATATTACAGCTTATGCAATAGCCCCAGGGAATAATGCTTAATAGAGCGCCGTCTTGTTTACTTTG